AACCTAAGAGCGATGACCTCCAACCTACTTGCGATGGTCTCCAACCTAATAGTGATGGCCTCCAGCTCCAACCTATTAGCGATGGACTTAGCCTTTGGGTTTGGGGTTGTTTTGGCCAACCTGATTTGGAGACCCGCATCCAGAGTATGACAAGGACTTTTTCCGGCTGTATAGCGGCGGACACAGCACAAATACTAGATGTGCTCATGCTTCTGTTTCCCATCTTTGTGGAGTTCCCGATCAAAAATGGTTAGCCCTGTTGGAACTTGGGGAGCGTGTTCTGCAGAGTTATGATGGCTTGGAACCCTTCAGACCAAACCATCATGAACTGCGTCAGAAGATTTATATCCCGCAATTTGCATCGACGGTGAAGGCAATCGTGTTGCATGTTCTGTCAGCGATGTGTAGCCACACAGCGCATGCTGGAAAGACATTGCCAAATTGCAGAGATCACCCAGTGCTGCAAGTGGCCTCGACATGGCTACATGCAGGCCTTTTATTATTGTGCATGTTGATCCCACAGGATAATTGTTTCTTTGTTCAAGTGCTTAGAGGGCTCAGTTGAGGAAAACACACCGAATGCCACGGAATGCAACTTTCTGGTTTCTTTTTTGCTTGGGCCAACGCCAAGCGTCATGGGGGCACTTCATGGCACATTGGTCAATATATTCTGGTTTCCTGTTGGGTACGTAAGTTGGAAGCAAGCCATGGCAAGTCTTCGTGTGAAGTAATTGAGTGTTTGGTGTTTGAGATGGGCTTCACAGCCAGCTATTGTGCACTGCCTCAGAGATCTTAAGTAGGGCTATCCAGGTGGTCGAAAGACTGGCCTTGCCCATGATGTTGATGTTACTGCGCGGTGCAAATGCGCACCAATTCAGGAGCTACAGGCTGGGACTGCATGGTGGAAGCCTCAGATGTAGCTCCAGCGAGACTTGGACGTTTGGGACGTCGAGGATGAGTGAGGTGAACTTGCAAGAGACCAGCTGCCAAATGGTTGATTTGTTTTCCATGTTCGCAAGGGGCTTACTCTTCGGTTCTGTCCATTTGGGAATTACTTGTCCTACGCAAAAAGAAAACACTATGAGTCAATGAGTAACACTATGTATTTGCTTTGAACTTTCTCACAACGTTTCGCCCTTGTGTGAGGTCATCTTTGGTGGAGACTATCAGCTCTTGCAGCATCCCAGCTGTGCTGTTGAAGGCCACCAAGGCGGATCTCTCAATGTGGCTGGTGGGAAGAGAGACTTTGACCGGTCACGTGTGCCGGACCGACACCTCTGTGCGGCATGGCAGTGCCAGGTGGCTCGGGAAGAGGGTGAAGATGAAGCACTCAAAGCGCTGGTCAGAAAGACTCAGTTCCGCAGGAGTTGACCACTAAAAGGAGCGCTTGGTAAAAGGAGGTTTTTGCACAAGTCCCACGGGGATATTCACGGATCTAGTCAGGGACAAACAACCGAGTCGTTGAACCTTTGACCACCGAAAGTCAGCCATTCCCGAGGTGTCCTCCGAGGCGGCGGTCTCTGATCCTCAAAGCACTTTGTCAATACTTCAGGAGATGACGGGAGTAGGTGGGCTGTATGGAGAGCGGGCAGAATGGAGTAAAGGACAGGGGGAGGCTCGAAACTTGGACACTTTGGCCATGACCAGGACCAATTTCGTGTCATTAAGTTCCACGAGTCCAATTTCACTTGAACCCTTTGCGGAGTATGTTTCAATTTGTCATTCAATGGCCCATATCGAAATTCACTCGCCTTCTTGGATTTCTGCGGTGCGGATTGACGGATTGACCCTTCGGAATCGAGCCATCAACGAAGCGCTGCTTTAATCAACCGGTGGTCCTGGCCATTTCAGGTTTGTTATGTTTGTTGCCCAAATGAATGAGCAAGTCTTGTGGGAATCATTTACAAACAATCACGACCTACTTAGAATTTCAACCTAATAGCTATGGCCTCCAACCAACCTACTTATATAGCAATGTCCTCCAATCTAATAGCAATGGCCTCCAACAACATTCACAAACAATCAAGACCTACTCAGAAAATGCTACTTTCCCCGTAGTTATGTTGAGATCTGAAGGGTTAGATGTTGGGAACAGCGTGGTTGCTTGTTGATGTAAACCCTACTACGTCCTACGATCTCTGTCTTTGTGTGGTGGCTTACACGTTCCAACCTTGCGTCTCAGAATGTTTTCCTGTTAATTTAATGTATTTGCTATGAAGGTTGTAGTTATCAGTAGCACTGCCGAACTTTGATTTGCGTCCGACTTCTTGCACAATGGTGAATAGTGACAGGCAGAGTAGCGGTCAAGAACATTCAAGAGCATGCTAGCCAGAGCATACACGGATCATATACGATATCCTTCAATGCAATAACCTGTACCTGTTCAGCGCCACAGGAGCTCTCCGTTGCGATGGCTGGAAAGAAGGCATTGCAGGTGGGGAGCGTTGCGGAGTTCGCACAGAGAGGGCGGGCCTTGCACGGGGACCCTTTAGTTGCGAGGCTTCCTAAGAGTTGATTCCCAAGAGCAAGGCGAAGAGGAAACACGAAAGACACATCGCTTCCCATGCGTAGAACTGTTATTTGTCAGAAGTTCAAACGAATACCTTATGCAGTGTTGGCATCCATCATAAGGGGTCGCTGCTTGATGTTATTGGCAGTCCACATGTAGATCTTGGATTTTGTTTCCAGCCGGCTCAAGTTCCCGTCGTCGGGGCATGCTTTGCCAAAATCAATTGCAATGAGCTAGATGGTTCTCAAGCTAGATCCCTTGATCCCATCCATTGTGCGGGCACCCGCTTTGCTGCTTTCAACTCCTGGATATAGATGAGCCGTTCCTTGTCCAAACGTTATAACCAAAAATGGTGGGATGTCGGATGTTATATGCTTCAACAATTCCGTCGATTATGGGCCATACAAGCAGTGATTTCCACCGACATGCACAGCTGGTTGGGCCTTAAACGACCCCCAGGCCCGATGAGATCTGGATTTGCCAGGCCATTTTCCAGTCCTTGCTGCAGAGGGCAGCCAGAACACTCAGAAGGGCTGAATATTTTTCCACAGATGTTGCAGGCCTTTCTGTGCAGCTGGAACGATGACATCCTGACAAAGTTGATTAGCAGGTGGTCAGCTTTCTTCCTGTTATTCAATCTTGCTTTGACTGGCCTTATAACCTCTAGCCTCTAAACTCTAAACCATGATAAACCCAATCCTGATCTACAGGCTACCATGGCTACCCTAGTTTCCAGATTAGTTTCCAGATGTTTCCAGATGAAGATCACATATGGTGAGATTTGCCAGGTTCATCGTTATTGGACCAACATGTGAAAAAGCAGATCTCCTGGTCCTACCGAGGTGGCGAAGCATCCGACGAACTTGCGACTAGTAATGGTTGCAGGGGATCACGAGAAGGCGCGTGGCCAGCGGTGCGAGCGGCACGCCTTCCTGAATGAATGAATGAGAAAGAACCCGGAAGCTGCTGTGCAGCAACTTAGGCTAATGGCATATTTTTACTCAGTGAGATTGTTCAATCTTGCACAAATTGGTGCCAGGATGCAGCAGGTTCATTCTGTGCAAGTTATGCGTGACCCACGACCTGTCTCCCAAGAGCAAGAGAATGCAAGAGAGTTTTCTCTCATGATTGAATGGTTGATTGAAGAGCTTTGTTCACTCTTGTCCTTGAGACGTAAAAGAGACAAGTCAACCAATCAGGGGGACATGCAGGATCTATTGGGGATCAACGCAGTCCTCAAAATGTCTGGCTACAGTTCTCCCAGTCATCGGCCGCACAGTCTACGGTGGTCGATTCGTGGAAGGCTTTGGCACTTCTCGATGATGTGACGCAGCTCTCCTCTCAGGATGCTGTCGGGCATCTCAGAGAACAGACATTTTTGATGTTTGATTCTCACTAGGTAACACAGGCTACACTCACATAGGGATGATTCCTAGAAATGGAAGACTCTTGCGGTTTGGACAGTTCAATTTATTGGATGTCGCCTGTCCACGGTTCCTTTTTCTGCGTCGATCCCTTGACCTCAGCTGTGAGTACAATTGATTCGGTGGTGCATTCCACCCTCTAGGATTAGAGAATAGCAATCAGATGTGCCAAAGCTTATAAGAGTCATTTGACCATGAATGATGAACTCTACCATCACTACACCTCAGACGACAAAACATGTGCGGGTCATCAACAAGCTGGCTTGGCCCTCGCAAGGAATTTGATGTTCAAGAACAACAACAACAACAACAACAGCGTTTTCTTGTGAAAGGGTTGTGCTAAGTCTTGCTGCTCTTTGCATCTGCTTGCCACCCTTCGGTCGCAGAGGAAGTCGCATCGTCACTACCCTGTTTGACAGATTACTCGATAGATTATCCTCCCCCTTCCTCATAATACTCAAAGTACTCTGTCCTCAGAGAAGGACTTTCATTACGGTAGGCTTCAGGGGCTTCAACGGTTTCTTGCAGCTAGTCTTGAAATCTCTTGGGATGGGGCTGCGAAGAGTCTCCGAAGACAGTGACTGCTGCCGCCGACGTTTCGTTCTCAGACCAAAGTCCTCAAAAGCATTGCTCCAGCGATTCACAGCGCTGTCGAGGCGCCCATGAGGCCAAGCATCTACATCCCTGCTTTCCTACAACATGGAGACTCGACGACTGATATGCTCATTATATAATATATATATATATAATATCATAATTTGAGAACAGTGATACTGTTGAGATGAAGGGATGAAGGAACGCTTGTATTTTTGGCTCAATCTATATATTTCAACTTGAAAGAACTGAAGCTCGCGGGTTCCTCCATGTTTCTCCCTTCATTGGGGGCACATTTGCAGTAATGCACTTATTGTGTAGTGGAGCTGAGGTTGGCACTGACCTCCTGGGTTTCATACAGCACCTTGAAAGATCATCATTTGTTCTCATCCATCCACACCATATTATGAGATCTCTTGGAGTTAGCATGATATACTAGTACAGTACAGTATACAGTATATTATACTGTATTACTGCGACATAGCTCACCGTCGAGCGCGTGCAGAGCCGGGTTCACCACCATGGGCGCCACCAGCAGCCAGCCGAACGCCTGCTTCTCGGGTTTGGCGCGCCCGGTGTCGCGCCGAGATTTGCCGGTGAGCCCGCAGGAGCCCATTGTGGTGACCGTCCCTTGGAATCGATGAAGCGCTGCGTCGATGTATGTCGATGGGCATGGGTCGAGCGCTATGTCCATGTCCATTTTGAAAAAAAGCGACAATGACTCGTGGGCACAACTGAAATTCTTGAGGCCTCGACATGTTTCATCTAAGAGGAGCTTCACGCAAATCTTTGTTGCCTAGGTCTGTGGGGCTGCTGGGCACATCGGCTATTCTTTGCTGCCAATGATTGCTGCCGGAGAGCTCTTTGGTCCCGGGCGCCGGGTGACCTTGCAGTGCTTGGATTTGAACCTGCCGGAAGTCATGGACAGTCGCTTGGGTCGTGAGTCCACACTCCGACGATCTCCGACTCACTAACATGGAGGCTTTAAAGCCCCTTGTAGCATCTTGTAGGGACTATTAAGAATTCCACTTCGTTGTTTGTGAGTCAGAGTGCATTTGATGGGTGGTCGCTGTGGCAAGGGTGGGAAGCTTGTGCTTTAGGTGAGCAGATGCCTCTCACGCAATTTGCAATTTGCCTACGCGGGAGTTGTGCAATTTGCTTTGTCCTGGTCTAATCGGATCGATCCGGCTTTCGCTTGTCCACGGTGAGTTGGTTTGCAAGAAAAGTGACGAGAAGAGCACGATAGAGCACGCATATTATTTCCAAACATCCCTGGCGTTCTTTGGCTGTAGCTTTGTGAAATCACCGTTGCGCAGCCCCACTAGTCATGACGACTAGACATTGGCCTAGCGATCGTGCGAGCAAGCTTATCCCTTTTGCACCCTTGTGCACCCATATTTGCCAGCTGCAACCCAGGTATGCGTGGCATGGAGATGGAAATGCAGGATGGCAACTTCCCCCTCCTTCATAAGGTTGTCTTTACCACGGATGATTCAGAGGCTTTCCAAGGGGCTGATTATGCAATTCTTTTGGGGGCCTTCCCAAAGCAAGATGGTTTGGACAAGCGGGAGATCATGGAAAAGAATGTGATGATCTTCCGGACCATGGGCCGGGCCTTAGAGAAGCATGTGAAGCCTGATTGCAAAGTCTTGGTGGTGGGGAATCCAGCGCATACCAACGCCTGGATTTGTGCGCAGCATGCTCCCTCTCTGAGACGGAACATTTTTGCGTTAACTCGCTTGGACCAGAACCGCGCGACGGGGCAAATGGCACACCACTTTGGTATCGCAGTCCATGAGATCCGAAATGTGGTGGTTTGGGGCTGTCATGCCAAGTTCCCGGATGTGGACCATGCTGTGGTCAAGGGCAAACCCTTAATGTCCTGCAGTGACGCAGACCGGAAGGGATTGAACGAACTGTTTCGAAAGGAAATGCAGCAGAGGGGCGCCAGTATCGTGAAAGCCCGCAAAGCAAGTAGTGCAATGTCAACAGCAAGAGCTATCACGGACCATATCCATGACCTGCATTTTGGCACAAGGCCAGGTGAGTTCGTTTCCATGGGTGTGTGGTCAGATCATGGCGCCTATTCCATCGGAGATTCCTTGATCTTCTCAGTACCCGTGATCTGTCAAGGTGGCGGGCAATATCAGGTCCACAAAGGACTGGGGTGACCTTTGTGAGCACCGCAAAACTAATTGATCGCTCGCTTGCATTGGCTGGTTGTTTTGGTTGGAAGTAAGTAGGCAGGACATTGTGGCACTCCCTATTGTTCCCATGCGAATCTACCTTCAGGAAGATCAGGAAGCATGGGTCCAGCTCTTTTTCTTGCATCATGCAGTCTCAGTGCTTCCCAGACTGTGATCTGTTATTTTGTACCCTAGATCCAAGAGCTGACCCAAATCCTCGATTGGACGGCGCGCATGGCTGGCCTGTTCAACCATGTTCCACCGCTCGCTTCGAGTGCAGTATCAGCTAACAGTTATATACAGGATCTAGAGCCATTAGTTAAGATTCCCAATCATCCAGGAACCAAATCATTAGTGTGAGCTATCGGTAGTAGCTATAGGTAGTAGCTACTCAATGACTTAAGCTACTAATTAGCTACCTAGCTTCTACTACTTCCTCTTAGCGGCCTACCCCCTAAAAAAAGGTCTTCTTTTTTCGCATCGCAGGACTCACATTGAGCACCCGAAGCCAAGAGAAGCTGAAACAGGTGGAGTTGGAGATCCTCCAGGATCGCGATCTCGCCCGACAGTGCATGAAGACAGCGCCTGAGCGGGAGCGACGCGCCTAAAGGCAGCGCCTTTCTTGAGGTGGAGGTGGCCGTTTTGTTTGGAGGAAGGACCTATGCCGATTGTTTAGAATCTCTCTTGGTGAAAGTTGCAATGCATTTTTAGTGGTTCAGACTCAGACTCAGACCCTCAGACTACCTCCTGTCTCGACCAGTATGAGACTTCCAAGGCTGACTGGGAGAGCTCAAGGCCTCACCAGAAGTTTTGGTCGTTGTTGGCAGACGCGGCGGCACCGGATTTGCTGTGTGGTGCTGCCATCGTTTCATTTTTCGCAAGTGCGCATGATATGCGCTTGCACACAGCTGCCAATGTATTTCTGCTAGAGTGGATGGGGGTGGCATCATCCGGCGATTGTGTTTTGGATTTTGCAGGTACTGTACCCCGTTGAAGTCGACCATCGAGTCAACTCATGTACGGGTTGAAGCTAGCAGGTTTGATGAGTGATGGATTCTTGTTTCGTTATGCAAAGCATTGTTTGTCGAACGTCGAACAACATGGTACAAGTCATGCTGTCAAGTCATCGAAGTCATGCTGTTTGAGCCTGGATGAAATTCGGGATGGGCCACCCCGCTTGAACGCGGCCACAGGGTTCAGTCGAATGTGCACCAAAAGGTCGGATTGCGGTGGTTGGTCGGACTGAGTTGATGTGACCCATAGTGGAGAGACTAATGGCCTCCAACCTAATAGCGATGTAAACATTCCCTACCATAGTGAAGAGACTCCTCCAAAGCTCCATTTGCATGTGCCTTGCTCTAGTAAGACCCCACAACCAATTGGTTTTGGCGCTTGCTTATCTCGTTGTCCTTTGGTTGTGCAGGTTGTATGTAGGATTGGGATTGGGCATCCAGAGGGCATTCTGACCAGCATCGTGAAGTAAAACGAAGGGATATGCATGGATATGCCACACATTTTATAGAACTTTTGGCAGGGCAGTGGATGGATTATGGAATGGACAATTGCTTTTGAGGGACTGACTTAGACTTAGACGGGCTAGGCCTGAGCTCATCAAAGCACCGAACAGGATGAGTATGGCTGGCCACCATCCAGGTCTCCTTGTAGTTGTTGCATGTTTTCCTTCAACAACCCTTTATATAAATTGTTAGATATGTTGTTGACATTGAGAAGAAGATGGGTTTCTTTTTGCTTAGGTGTTCTATTGTTCAAGGGCTTGTGTTGGAACTTGCTTTGGGCTATTGGATCCCAATCCACTTGTTTCCTCCCCTTTGTTTCCCAGCTCAGTTGTGTGTTGATCGCTCATCGCTGGTGCTTTTTGAGGCGTCTTTGATGCTGCTGAAGCGCAAGAGTCTCGAAAAAACAGCCCTCACCTTGGCGACGGAGTAGGAGCGGCCGGGAGTGGCCGCTAGAGATGCCGGGAATGGAGATGAGAAATTCAGAAAGATCTGTAAAGTGCGCGTGCGGTCAAGACCCCAATCACACCCCAGAGAATCATATTATGGGATCGCTCACAGGGCATCCCTATTGGCCAGAAATATGGCCCATCGCTTGGCATGTTGATTGATCGAGGTATCGAGGTTTTCTGAAAGCACAGGCCCAGACTTTAGGTTGGATGCCATCACTATTAGGTTGGAGGCCATTGCTATTAGTTGACCGAGGTATTGAGGAGATCTTGAAAGCCCGGGCTTTTGTTTTCGAACCTTTGGTTGAGCAGTGTTTTTGATTTCTGAAATCGCCTTCGCGGAGGCTACGCGAGGCCGTTTTTGCTGAAGGGTATACAGTACTACGCGCTGGATACGCGGTAAGGGGAACTCCGCGAGAGGCTACGCGAGGTCGCTTTTACTGCACAGGTAGGCTAAGGAGTGCCTACGCGTAATAGTTCCCCTACAAGAAGGCTGCGCAAAGCTACAAAACCTATAAACTGCAAACGTAGGCCTCGCGGTGGCTACGCGGTACATTTGCACCAAAAAAAAGAGAGTGGCAGGCTGTGAGAGTGCACTTTTTTGCTATTTTTAGAATTCCATTAAGTCATTTGACATGTATAGTTTTGTGGCTTATCAGCATCTATATAGTGCCCAGTTGCCTTTGAGTCTGGCCCTATAAACACATATATATATATATATATCTAATCTGTTCCTGCTCTCTTCATATGAACAAATATATTATATATTCCTTGTGATGTATCTCTACATGATTTGCAGAAGGGTTGGTATAACGTTGCTGGGGCAAGTTTTGCTTCGTTGATTGTATCGTTGAAGTTTCGTCAAGCATCTTTGTGGCAACAGGTGTTGCCACATCAATTTGCCACAAGAATGCTTCGTTGAACATTCGTTAGGCATTTCGTTGACTGTGTTGTGGCAAAAGGTGTGGCAATCCATTTTGCTACACCAAACGCATCATTGGAAATTCGTTGAACATTTCGTTGAGTGGAAAAGCATATGTGACCTATGTTTGTTACATGTGTTCTATGTTGTGAAGTGTTGCAAGTGAAGGCGTGCTGGGAGACACATTTTCCTCACTGCCTAAGATGTCTGTGTAAGCGACGCCAAGGTACCCACATGCTGCACATGTTGACAGCAAAACGCTTAGCGCTAGCTTCACGATGCTTTAAGATGACTGCGCCTTCAATGCCACAGCAAACAAACAGGAAACACATACCAGAACTATGCACTCACACAAAAATGGAAATAAATGAATCCAAATGAATCTCACATCTCAATTTCAGGCACTACTGTTGGCAGTCGGAACCTTGCCATAGAACGAAATAAACTCCTGGTAGAGCTGAGGGGTAGCATGCTTAGCTAACGCCTCCAAAAGCCCTACCGATGGCTTCAAACTCTCACAAATGAATCCCTTGAGCACTTTGTTCGACAAAACATTGCGGGTTTCACCGGGCTGCAATGTTCGAAACAAGGAAGTTAATGCGGTAAGATTCGCAATGGCTCTTCGAGCATCTTGCGACTCTGTTTGCCCCAGCTGTTTTTTGCAATCAATGATTGCCTCAGGGACATTGGGACAAAGGGACTTGGCACTTGGCTTGCCAAACAAAATCTCAGCCTCAGCCAAGAACTTTTCAACCGCCTTTCGCAAAGCTCTCGTCTTGTTGAACATGTAGTAGAACTTTTGGCTTTCCTGCGCGCTGCCCACGGCATCGTATTTCTGCTTCAGGCATTCGACGGTTGCATCCGCTGCGTTTAACTCCGGAGCCACTACCTGGGCAGTGGTCAGAAAGGAAACCATAGGTAAACATTCATTAGACGAATCTGCGTAGTCATACCAATGCTTTGAAAGGATTGTTGTTGGCTGTTGGATTGTCGCATGTGGTGTTTGCTGTAAACAGCCTGAAGTGATTGAAGAAACATATCAATCCCTGCACAAACTTCCTTCACCAAAAAAACATCTATGGCCTACGGACCTAACCATTAAAGTTTGGAAAACTGAAAACCATGGTTGAAACCTGTTTCATACCAAAGCTTTGGAGGGATCTTTGTTGTCTATTGGAATGTTGTGTCCAGCGCACAGGGAGATATATTAGAATATCAGATTATCTATGCTATACAATAAGATAATCAATATAACATGAAATACATACAGTAAATGATATGTTATGTATGGCATAGGCGGTACAACAGGAAAACTAAAACGGTATACGGTATACGGAAATCTTTGGCACTGCTGACCTTGGAAAGGGGATCATTCTGAAGTGATTGAAGAAGCGTATCAGTCACTGCAGACATTTCCTCCACGAAAATGCCCATGCAGGATTTGATCTTGCCCTCGGCAAACTCAACGGTTTTGGCAAACTTCTCCTTAATGATACCAATCTTTTTGCCTTGAACCGAATGAAGCAGGACACGCATATGCCCAACTACCTGATCAGCGCAAGAGACAACACGTGCATACGCTGTGCTGTGTTCTGATGGCATTGCCAATTAGCCTATAGTCTATAGTATAGCCTATATAGCCTATAGCCTATATAGCCTATAGCCTCTAGCATATAATCATATATCATATAGTCATATATAGCCATTGCCAATAGCTATAGCCACAGCCTGGCCTATCAGCCTAATAGCCCAAAGCCTACAGCCTTTTCTCCCCAAAGAAAGGTAGACCAAATATGCCAAGTGTATGATCCTGTTTGCATTTGTGCGCTGTGTGGGCTGTTTGATGCTGTTTGTATGGTACGACAGTATGACTATGACTCAGACTATGACTCTGACTGACCAGTATGCTCGCCTCCAACCATTTGGTGGTCTGATTGAGAAAGCCTTTTGCACTCTCTGCTCTGCTTTCTGATGGTTGCTTTAGCTGGTCAATGGTGGTCGCTTCTCCGAATGTCTTTGCTATAGGCTTCCTCAAAGAAACCCTTGCAGCTGACTGGAGTAGCGCTGTGGTGTAGCGAGCAGCTGGAAGAAAGATGCTAGCTGCACACAAAGTTTGCATGTCCACCATAACCTCACCAAATTTGAACTCTTTCAGCATGGTCTCGTCGAAGCAAAGCGTGCATGACACACTGGAAAACTCCTGATACACAGCTTTGACTGTCGAATGATCCTCTTCTGCATCCACAGCACCGGTGACATGCTCCACACATAGCTTCTCAGGGTCAAAGTCTTCCTGCAAAACAGCACCCACAAAGTCTTGGCAAGAAGCAAGCTTGCGCTCGATCCGGGATTGGCTCCAAGACGCAAGCCACGCTTTCACATCCTTTTTCCACTGAGGAGCATTTGGGTGAATTTGGGTCATGTCAAAGTGCTTCATATCAGACGACTGGCCCGCTGTAGCATCAAGCAAATACTTCACCATGTCAATGAGTGCCTCAGCCTGGAACACAGACAAGTCCTCTGCTTTCTCTGCCTGGTTGGCGTCCAAAATCCATTTGGAGAATGTAGTCATAGCCGTGATGAATCTTCCATATTCAGCCATATATTCTCCCAAAGCAGTTGCGTGATCTGCCCCGATGAACTTGGAAAACTGAAATTTCACCACCACAGCAGCCTTGGCTAAGACCAGTGCATTGGTGTGGTTCTTTGCCTCTTCATCATTTGAGGAGCACCCAGAAGTGCACCAAGCAAACGCATCCGCAAGTGTTGGCA